TTCGCCATCCCGCAGAGCACCAGGGGCACGCCGGTGTCCACCCTGCTGCGAGACCCGTACATCCTGGTCGCTGCAGGTAAAGGGGCGTCAGCACGCGCACGCTCCTCTTTGCGCACCTGCGTCTCCCGATCAGAGAGATTCCCTCGTGCCTGCTTGAAACAGCAGCAGAAGGTGGCTAAAATAGAGCATTTCTCCCTTTTCTTCCCGCCAGGAGCCCTCTGCTTCTCCAACATGGGGGTGGCCATGCTCGAGCCCACCTTGCCCATCTGGATGATGCAAACCATGTGCTCCCCGAAATGGCAGCTAGGTAGGTGCTGCGCTTTGCAGCCTTCCCTCCTAACACTTGCTTGACATGGTTTAGCTAGAACCGGTCCTGCTTTGGCACTGCGAGGTGAATTGAATAATCTCTTATATCATTTTAAAAAAGAAGAAAGCATATACCCTCACCCGCACAGAGTGAGTGATCCCAGGCTGTGTGTTGCTCCAATTTCAGCTGGAAATGTCCTTAGCGGTGGCTATACAATGTGCTTTTCTCTATTATTGAAAAAATTGTATAGAATCAGACTCCCCACAAGAGCAATAATGGTGGAAGAAAGGCTGTTTCGTGCACAGGAAGCCTGTCAAATCCCGTCTTCTGCAGGGCAGATAATGGCATCGTGCTGGGCTGAAATCATGGCAGCCAGATGGGTTTTGCAGAGGCAGCTCCGAGTAAAACAAGGCCATTTAGAGAGTCCCAGGCAGGACAGGATGGTACATGCTAATTACCAGCTGCCTAGAAAATGCGATAGGGAGATAACATTGTCTGTGTTTGCTACAAAAATAAAAACTAATTGTTATAAAACCCAATTGGCTGAGGAATGACCCTGGGGGTGCCCCAGGCTACACTTAGATCTCAAATTGAATTGCAGCCTGGGAGCAGAAGGGCTGAGAGAGCTCCTAATCTAGTTACCCTCTGGTTAGGCAGGAGCGTCCATCCCAGTAAGAGCCTACGATGCTTCCCATGAGCAAGTGACTCAGCAAGGACGGACGAGGGTAAAGCAGCGGCCCAAGGATTCTGGCAGCGGGGAGAAGGGGCAGCGTAGCTGCTTGGTAACCACAAACGCCACAGGCTGAGAAAAGCAGTCAGGGCTGTCCCCGTCGCCACTGAACCCAAGGGGAACCTTTGAGGTGACTTAGCAGGACCCAAAGGTCTGTAGACATCAAAGAAATTCCCAAATACATTCACTAGATTTTCAGGTACCTAAGATTTGAGAGCAATTTGGACACAGTTCAACTGCAAGCCACCCATCTCACAAGCTATTATGAACTCAAGGGGCTGATTTATTTGCATGCTTCAGTTTGCCTACCCCCATAATTCTGGAAAAAAAAAAACAGAAGAGCTTGGACTAAACATGCAGGATTAACTGTGTTCTGTAGCTGTCAAAGAGAGGAAAGAAAATTAAACATAAATCAGTGTGTTTCAATAAGGAAGTTGTCTTAGTGAAATGGGGCTGATCAGTTTTATTTATAGTCAGCAGGAGAATATATTAAAAATAAACAACTGGTAAATCAGCAAACAGTGCAAATATTTAATTTTGACTATATAATGATCTCCAAGATTTTTACTTAAGCAGTATTTTAGTCCTCTTCATTTAGCAAGTGAAAAGCAGAAGGCAAGGGGAGAAAGGTGGAAGAGGTAGAAACTATGACAGGAGAGAAGGATGAGCTTATTAAAGCAGAGGGGACAAAAAAAGTTCTGCAGTTAGCTTCTGGTTGTCTCACAGATCTTGTGGGTGAATCACTGCAGCTCTGCGTGCCTCAGTTTTCCCCCCATCAAAAGCAAACACATTTTCTGTGCCTCCCTCTGTCTTCATAGAGGGCCCCCCCCCCCCCCCTCCCGGGG